ACTGAACCGCTTCTTGCTTGGGTTGTATTTCGGACCAGAAGCCTTCTTCCTCTTTTTGTTATCTTCAACAATATTTGCTCCCATTATTGTTGAATTTCCACGGCCTCTCCTTTCAGCAGCTTTATTGTCCTCTTCGATTCTCAACCGAACAATGAGATCTTCAAGGGACATTTCCTTTCGTTTGTGTTTCAAATAATTTTTGAAGTCCTTCCACAACGGAGGCAACTTCTCAATCATTGCTGCTACTTCTCAATTTTTGAAGTCTTACGTTAATATTTACTATTAACAAATAAATTTGGTCCAAAAAATTAATCAATCAATCCGGATCCGTAGCCGTAGCCGTAGCCGAAGCCGAGCGAGCGACGACGATGACGGCGCGATGCTTGCTTTCTTCTTAACTCTTTAAGAGCTACAAGAAGAGCAATTATATATATACCCACCAAAAATCTTTTTCTCTTCCAATATGGGACAATGTCTCATTGTCAAGAGGGGGAAACTTAAAATTTTACTCAAAAATTTTATTTTCCCTCCATTTCCCATTCACCCTCATTTTAAGACTATTTCATCTTAAAAACAAAAACCTCAACAGCTTGTACTATCTTCGGAACTCGTTTCGAAGTTTCACTTCGGTCGCTTACCATTCGAACTCGATCAAACTTACGAAAGTCAAAATCTATTTCGACTGTATACAATAATATAGAAGAAAGATAGATATAGATAGATTAATATATATATATATATATATATAGAATAGACAACTTCACCGAATATTTCATGTATTATTTGCAAAGGTAAGGCATATAAAACATTCCCAACACTAGAAAAGCTCTACATTGTGAAAAGTATCTTAAATAGCCTATTGTTTCCATAATGTACGTAACTTCTGGATTTTCCCCCATAAATATGTGACATTGTATTAAATATTAATGCAAAGCTCGCTAACAGCAAGTTAATGTAATCATATTAACAACTCAAAAACCAAGAGAAAATAAAGAATATGTAATATTTGTCGATCTGTATAGGTATAATTCTAATTCTTTTTGTCAACCCTACTTTCAAAGAGGGCAAATTAAAATGCGATCGACAACAATATCTTTTAAGATCTTTTTGTTTTCTTCTCTTCTCAAACAAACAAATCAACATACAGCACTCTTATAGATCCTTAAGGGGTGGTTGATAGTTAAAGATAATTTGTTGTGAACTCAAAGATGGCAAGATTTTCTTTGTCAAAAACCCTTTGAAATAAGGTTAATCCACTCATCAAACTAAACAAAATACAAGTAGGGCAGAAAAGCGATACTATTCCCCCACTCCACAAAATTAGTGAGTTAAATTAAAGGTGAAAAATATTTCTCTTACAACCTGTCTTTCCTATGGCTTCGGGGAGCCTTATGTTTAGAATTGGATACTGTGTCCATCCATTAATGGTAATTAAGTCTTGTATATATGATTAAGAAAGGGAAAGAGGTAGCACTGTTTTTAAAAAAAAATTATTCCAAAGACCATTATAAAGAGACGTTTGACTAACTAATAAAAATCGACTGGCTCTCAATTGCGACACAAAAGACATACTCCATTATTTTTTGGGAATGATTAATATCAAAAGAACCTAATTCTCTGACAGCAACAGTGGATGAAATTGAAGCAATAAATGAAGAATTTTTTTTTCTTCCAACTTTTTGATTCAAAGGTTCTCTTTTAAAGAGACAAACTTAGAGTATTAATTTAATACATTGTTTCAACTAGTATAAATATGTTAGGACATTGCTCAAATTAAGTGAGCAACACAACTCTAACACTCCTTTCCTTCCCTTGTGATTGTGTAATATTTGCATTTGTTTCATCAATTTGGGAAGACATTCTAAAGAAGGAAAGATATAATGAAGGTTAGATACCACATCCTCAACTTATTTTTTTTTCTTCATCTCTAATTAGTCGTTGCGTACTTGTAGTTCTACATTCTGAACTTCATATATCTATGAGTTTATAATATAGTCACGAATACATAGTTTTGACTTTATGTTTTGATTAAAACAATTTCATTCGTCTTCGGTTGAATTACTAATAGACAGAATAAGGTTGAAGTTTAGATAAAAATGTGAAAAACTCCGACCTTAGCTTGCCAACCAAGCCACTTAAGATAGATAGACTATAAGCATAAGATGGATCCAGGATTTGATGGTTGTGAGTGTCACTATATTTAATGTAAATTTACCAGTAGTCAAAAAGGTTAAATTTATTAGACACATGCATTTGGCCAGTTCACTATATTTTAAATTAATTCGATTCGGTTCGGTTCGATTCGATACATTTTTAATTAATTTAGTTTGCTTTACAAGATCTTTTGGTGCATAAATAATCACATGTTAAATAAACTGAATATATTTGGTCTTTTCAAGAAAAAAATAACATACTACATAAAAAAGAAAAATGATTAAAAACATATTCAAATTTAAAAAATTGAGAGCTAGAACGAGAAAAAATAGGCAAATATACTTTTATAATCTAAAGAACTACTAATAAAAATGAGATTGTATATAGGTAAAATATCAACATAAAGTAAAAGAAATTAAGAAAAAGAGGAGAAAAGAAAACAATCTGGAATTTTAACACTTGGGGTGCCACAAATTTTTTCTATACTTTTTCTACATGAAATACTAGTGAAACACCACTGAGTACATGAAATTCTATCCGAGCGACCGGGTGACGTACCACGCCGTCACCTTTACATAGATCCGCCCCTAATTATAAGTAGACAAAAAAAATGCAAAACAAATAATAAAAACTTATAGAGCCATTTGATCTGAATGTTATATGAAGAACATATGCTAGATGGCGGAACAAGAAGATCCACTTAAAAAAAACATACAATACCGTGTTTTGCATGCATGATTCGAAGTGTAGAAGTACTCTAAATTTTTTAGCATTATATATTTGATTCTTGAAAAATAAAATGTCCAGGTAGAAAACATTGCTTAAAAAGAAAGCAATGAAGAAGAAAATGTTCTCACAAAAGTCGGAAGTTGCAATAACTCAAACAGTTAGCCAGTCTGGCTCCCATATACTAGCTTACAAAATTAACCATATCCACAATAAATACAGAACAAGTTCAACACTCAACTGCTCTTCCTCTGGACCTTCCCCCGAGCACCAAAAAGAAATAAGTGAAATGCAAGAAAAAGTTAATTGGAATAAGAAAAAAATCAGAAAAGAATATTTGCCTTTTTTCCTTGCCTTCTTTGATTTTTCATCTTAAATGTCTACGCTATTTTACTTTTTCATCGGGTTTTTATCTGTCAATTTAACGAAAAAGATGTGTCCGAAAATATTTACTTATCATTTTAAAAAACTAAGACAACATTATTGTTTTTAAAATTTTCATCCTTACTATTCTGCGAAGACATGTATTTATTAATTATTGTTTTAAAGAATAGATAAAAATAACAGATCAGATAATACTTTTTAACTAGCAAATATGTTTGACCAACAAATTGAGTGTAGACAAAATAAACCAGAAGTTGGGGGAAAAAACCATCACTATCAAGTCAAACTAGTTGCAGCGAGTCCAATTGCTCTTTGGCGGTCGTCAACCGCGTATTTCTTTCCTTCTTCTGTTTTCTTTGCGGCTTTGTATATTTTCTTTCTCTTTTCCCCTTACAATGAGGGAAACAAAAAAAGTTGCATGTACAATTTCCACTTCAATTTTCATTTAGACAATTTCTTAGGGACGGTAATAAATAAGCAAACAAATATGGAGTAAATATAATAAGAATTACCGAAATAAAAGGGACGACAGATGGCTTTCCCCGTTACTCCATCCATTTTGAATTTATGCGAACATATTTCATTTTTACTCCGTGCCAAAAAGAATGACTTCTTTTCTTATTTGGAAACATATTACCTTTATGCAATGATTTATAACCACACAAAATATATGTGCCTCATTTTACACCACAAATTTAAAAGTTTTCTTTCTTTTCTTAAATTTCGTGCTCAGTCAAATGGAATTGGAACGGGGAGTATTATTTATATACTCTCTCTACGCCATCTTTCAAGCACCTGTACTTATTTCAGCTCAAACTGAGTTAAAGAGTTATAAGTAGTGAATAGTGTGGTCCATTGAACTCAGAAACTACGTTAGATTAATAGTCTTACTGCTGCTTCTCTGCCTCTACTTTAGCTACCTAGTCATTGAATCTTTTTTCTTCATAGAACTGTAGTAGAAAGAAAAACTCATCATTTTCTTTGATTTCTGTTAAAACCACAAAGATGGGAGAAAACAACAACGTTGCTTCAAAACATCAAGTGTTCGATGTTTCCATCAATGTCACTGAATCCAAGTGCTTTGACGATGATGGCCGTCTCAAAAGAACTGGTAATCCTCATATTTTGTGGTTTTTAGCTCAACCCCATTTCAATTCTTGATTTTTGGAGAGTAAACTTTCTGATAAATCTTGGGACGTTTTTTCCCCATTTTTACAGGGAGCGTTTGGACGGCAAGTGCTCATATCATAACAGCTGTAATTGGTTCGGGAGTTTTGTCTTTAGCATGGGCAGTAGCTCAACTTGGTTGGATTGCTGGTCCTATTGTTATGATTTTGTTCTCTTTTGTTACTTATTACACCTCCGCTCTTCTTGCCGATTGTTACCGCTCCGGCGACTCTGTTTCCGGCAAGAGAAACTACACTTACATGGATGCTGTCCAAGCCAATCTTGGTATGCATATATTTCTTTTGTTTCTTTCCTTGTTAGAAGAAGTTCAATTTTACGCCAAAATAACTTAATTTATCCTCTAATATTCTGGGGTCACACATACTCTTATCCTTAGCAAGTTTTGTATTTGTCCTAACTTTTAACGAAACTCCATATCTATTGTGCGAATATTTTTAAAAAATTGAGTGGATTCCACATGACGAAACACTCTTAAAAAAAGGTGCAAAATTTATATATCTATTTTGACTACAACAACAACAACATCCAGGTCTTGGAAGGGCATGATGTACGCAGTCTTACTTCTATCCTGAAGACCCTCAACAATACATCTATTTTGACTATGATTTAAAATTACTCTTGATTATACTTCTAAGTTAGAGCGACATTAAGGACAATCTAAAATACGGGACAATTTACTAGCGATAGTGATAAAATTAAGATATTTTGTATGGTAGAGAGGTCTGTTTCTTTTTCTTTCTTTTTTACTAATTTACTCAAATTTGGGTATTTGTTAAAAATGATTTCAGGTGGGCTCCAAGTCAAGATTTGTGGATGGATTCAGTATGCGAATCTTTTTGGAGTTGCTATCGGATACACCATTGCATCTTCAATTAGCATGATGTAAGTATAGTTGTTAAATTTGTGATTTGATCATTTTTCTCTTAATTGTTTTAGGGGATGTTCAAATACTGAGCTCATTTTTGTTTGTTTATATTATTTTCGGTGTAAAAATGAACAGAGCTATTAAAAGGTCTAATTGTTTCCACAAACATGGTGATCAAGCTCCTTGTCAAGTATCCAGCACTCCATACATGATCATGTTCGGAATAGTAGAAATCATCTTCTCTCAGATCCCAGATTTTGATCAGATTTGGTGGCTTTCAATTGTAGCTGCCGTTATGTCCTTCACTTACTCTACTATTGGACTAGGCTTAGGAGTTGCTAAAGTGGCAGGTTTGTTAAAAAAAAAAGTTCCATATTTTCCTTCAAAAAATTTCAGTTTTAGTTAATATTCTGCCTCACTTTTTTCTCCGATACCCTTTTGATTACAGAAACTGGAAAAATCGGAGGAAGTCTCACTGGAATTAGCATCGGAACCGTGACTGAAATGCAAAAAATTTGGAAAAGCTTTCAAGCCCTTGGAGCTATTGCTTTTGCCTATTCTTACTCCCTCATCCTTATTGAGATTCAGGTAATACTGTAGAGCCTTTAATTTATCACTTTTCTGTTTTCTGGAGGAGCATTTTATTAATTTATCTGTTTCAATTAATTTCTAAATATTATAGGATACACTCAAGTCTCCACCATCAGAATCCAAGACAATGAAAAATGCAACTCTAATTAGTGTAGCAGTAACAACAGTTTTCTACATGCTTTGTGGCTGCTTTGGCTATGCAGCATTTGGAGATCTGGCTCCTGGAAACTTACTAACTGGTTTTGGATTCTACAATCCTTATTGGCTACTTGATATAGCGAATATAGCCATCGTCGTCCATCTTGTAGGTGCATACCAAGTTTACTGCCAGCCCCTTTTCGCCTTCATTGAAAAAACAGCAGCAGAATGGTACCCCGAGAGTAAATTTATTACCAAAGAGATTAGTGTCCCGATTATGGGCTATAAATCCTTTAAACTCAACCTCTTCCGGATAATTTGGAGGACGATTTTCGTCATCATCACCACGGTCATATCTATGCTATTGCCATTCTTCAATGACATAGTTGGAATTCTTGGAGCGTTTGGATTTTGGCCGCTAACTGTCTATTTCCCTGTGGAAATGTACATTGTGCAAAAGAAGATAACAAAATGGAGCACAAAATGGATTTGCCTTCAAATGCTTAGTGTTGCTTGCCTTATTATCTCAATTGCTGCAGCAGCTGGTTCTTTTGCTGGTGTTGTATCTGATCTACAAGTTTACAAGCCTTTTAAGACAACTTACTGATGATACTGAATTGGATTGTCAACATTTAGGAGAAGCTTCAATTGCTGTTGATGTTCATAACCAAATTAAGGCCAAAGAAGGCCTTCACTAGCAAGTTGTTGTTTTTCAGATTGTAGTTCTTTTTAGTACCATAACAAAAAGGCAGCCCTTCTATGTATTTATGTTGGGAAGTTTGAAAGGGCAAAGAAAGTCGTAATATATCAACTGTGAATTGTAATCATGTTGCACTAAAAGTTTGCAATCGGAAATGAAGCCAATGTCTCAATATATTCAACTCTTCCTTCAAATTTACTTATGTCTCTCATCCCTTGTGGTTTTCGCAATAATAAAATGTCCTCCTAGATTTAGCAAATTATACATACTCTAACTTCCTTCTAATAAGGATCAAGTCCAATCAAGGTGTCATGACCCGAAATCCCAACTAGGGGTCGTGATGGCACCTAACATCCACTTGTTAGGCAAGCCAACATTAGCTAAAGAATTAATCGATTTTAACAATTTAAAAGCAGAATAATAATAATTAATGATTGACAAACTCTGAAATACATGAAATGAATACACAAGTAACGTAGTTTATGCTACTTCCAGAAATCCGGAGTCACAAGTACATGAGCGACTAGAATATTACAAATATGGTCAGAAAGGAAGTACAACTGTCTGAAACTAGATAAACAGTAAAAACAGGATAGAAGGGGACTTCAAGGATTGCGAACGTCATGCAGCTCTACCTCGAGTCTCTTGTATGAGTCGGATCTGAGCAATTTCCTCTAGGCACCTTAGGATCAACACAGGGATCTGCACAAGAAGTACAGAAGTGTAGTATGAGTACAACCGACCGCATGTGCTTTGTGAGTGTCGAGCCTAACCTCGGTGAAGTAGTGACGAGGCTATGACAAGACACTCACTATAAACATGTACGAATAATAATAAAAGACAACAAAAATATAGAGAAGGCAAGTAACTCATAAGAAGGGGACCCAAAAGTCAACTAACAGAGGGCCCCAGAATAACATCACCTCATAACCTTATATCACAATACTGAAATAGAGCATTATAGCTATAAACAGTTATAATACATCATACTCCATTGCGGTGCAACCCTATCCTAACATTTATCACAATATCTGTTGTGACATATAACCCAATCCCAATATCATTTCAATATTTGTTGCAGTATGCAACCCGTTCCCATTATCAATTTATTTGTATATTGTTGCGGCGCGCAACCAGTTCCCAATATCAACTCATTAATATGAGCAACTCAACACAGCCAAATTCTGTAATCTCAATACAAAAGGAAATAAAACGTATAGAACATCAAGGAATTACCAATACAAACAAAAAATAACCAACATCTCGTATTCACAAACCTCGACAAATCATCAATACAAGAATAGCTAAAAGACTCCCACAATCAGACACAACATCATAAAGTGTACAAGTAAGGTAAAGACAATAAAGGCAAGTAAAGACATGAATCAATGAAGATATACAATTAATACAGATAGGAACATATAACATGTAAGTAGGTATTGATTAAGAAAATGAATAAATCTAAATATGTAGCAACTAGTTGACAAAAAACAAATAACGTACGAGTGACAAGTAAGGATATGTAGCAAATCAAAGCATTTAACGAAATATAACATTGTCACGACCCGAAATTCTCATCTTCGGGACCGTGATGACGCCTGACATTTCACTTGCTAGGCAAGCCAACGTTAGAATAATATTAGCCATTTTTAAATAATTTTTAAATTAATTAATAACAAAAAAATAAATGCAGAAGTAAAGTCTGAAATGTAGTGAATAATCCATAATAATAGCGATGTCTAAATACCATCCCAGAATTGGTGTCACAAGTGCACGAGCTTCTAGAATAATATAAACAATGGTCTGAACGAAATAAAGTTGTCTGAAAGAAAGCACACAACTAAAATAAAGTAGAAGGGGACTTCAGAGTTGCGAACATCGTGCAGCTATACCTCAAGTCTCCACTGGTAGCTGAATCCGAGCAAGTCTATGGTACGCCGCTGGGACCAACTCCGAAATCTGCACAAGAAGTGCAGAGTGTAGTATCAGTACACCCGACCCCATGTACTGGTAAGTGCCGAGCCTAACCTCGACGAAGTAGTGACGAGGCTAAGGCAGGTCACTTACATTAACATGTACGCAATAATAGTAATAACCACAATAATAGAAATAAATCAGGTAACTCATTTTAATAGTTGAAACCAACTCAACAGTCATAACCAATTATTATTTCAATCAATTTCCGTTGCAGCGTGCAACCCGCTCCCACAATATATTCATATTTACTTCTGTTGCGACGTGCAACCCAATCCCCCAATATAGACTTTTAAATAAGTTTGTTGTGGTATGCAATCCGATCCCCCAATATAGACTTTTAAATAAGTCTGTTGCGGCGTATAATCCGATCCCCCAATATAGACTTTTAAATAAGTCTGTTGCGGCGTGCAACCCGATCCCCCAATATATATTTACTTCCATTTTCGTTGCGGCGTGCAACCCGCTCCTTCAATATATTCACTTTCATTTACCAATTCTTATAAAAGAAATTACTCCAATAAATGCAACAATTAATATGAAATTATAAGACAACAAGCATACACTAATTATAATTTATTAGAAATAAATGATGACAAGTAGCAATTAATTATGGAAATTAAGGATGTAATAGGCATTTTAATAATTAGTATGTTAAACATCAAGTAGCAATTAAGACACATTAATCAAATAAGCATGTGACAATTATTACAGTAATTCAAGAATTAATATTTGACAAGGAATAGGAGAGAAACAATTACTATAACAATTATTCGTGTCTTAAAATAATTTAAGATGTTTAAATAATTAAGCAACAATTAAATTGATAAAGTATAGGCACCCGTCACCTTGCCTATGCAGCGTTGCACATGAAATTCACATAGCAAATAATCCAGGGGTTCTATTCCCTCAAGTCAAGGTTAACTACGACACTTACCTCGCTTCGCAACCAAATTCAAGTTTCCAATAAACCCTTGCCTCGCGAATTAGTATTCGAAATCCTCAAATCTAATCACAAAAAATTCAATATACTCATTACAAATCGTAGGAATTAATTCCATATGAATTTATAAATTTTCCGGATAAAAATCCGAAATTCATTTTAAAAATAACAGTGGGACCCACGTCTCGAATTCCGGAAAAACTTACAAAATCCGAACACCCGTTCCGATACGAGTTCAACCATACAAAAATTATTTAATTCCGACATCGGATTGGCTTTCAAATCTTCATTTTACATTTTTGAAAGATTTTATAAAAATCTGATTTTTCTTCCATAAATTCACAGATTCATGATGTAAATGAGTATGGAATCATGAAATATAATCAATATAGGATAAGGAATACTTACCCCAATGTTTTTCCGTAAAAATGCCCAAAAATCGTCTTACCCGAGCTCAAAATCGAAAATGGTGGAAATTGGGTCGAAATCCCATTTCTAGAACTTAAGTTTTGTTTTTCAGATTTTTCTTCTTCGCGAACGCGGTCAGTGCCTCGCGTTCGCGAAAGCGGTCAGTGCCTTGCGTTCGCGAAGCACATTTTTGTGCTTCCTAACATTGCCCTTCGCGAACGCGATGCCTTGCCTGGCTTGGCCTACGCGAACGCGAGCTGCCCTTCACGAACGCGAAGGCAAAAATCCTCTCCGATAATTTTTCCTTCGCGAACGCGAGGCTTCTATCATGAACGCGAAGCTTTGAACCTCGATCCTTCGCGAACGCGTGCCCTTGATCGCGAACGCAAAGCACGAAATGTGCCAATCCAAATTTCTTCTTCGCGAACGCGAAGATGGAAACCAGAACAAGCATCAAAAAATTTCCAGCAGCATTCCAAGTCCGAAATTCAATCCGTTAACCATCTGCAACTCGCCCGAGGCCCTCGGGACCTCAACCAAATATACCAACAAGTCCTAAAATATCATACAGACTTAGTTGAAACCTCAAATCACATCCAACAACACTAAAAACACTAATCACACATAGATTCAAGCCTAATGAACTTTGAAACTTCCAATTTCTACAAACGATGCCGGAACCTATCAAATCAAGTCTGATTGACCTCAAACTTTGCACACAAGTCAGAAATGACATAATGTACCTATAAAAAAATTTAGAATCGGATTTCGGCCCCGATATCAAAAAGTCAACTCCGTGGTCAAATTTGAAAATCTTTAGCCTTTAAATTTCTAGTTTCCGTTAAATGGTCATAACTTGAGCTAGGGACCTCCAAATTAAATTTCAGGCATACGCCCAAGTCCCAAATCACGATACGAACCTACCGGAACTGTCAAAATACTGATACGAGTCCATTTTCTCAAAATGTTGACCAAAGTCAACTCAGTTAAGTTTTAAGGCTCTATTTCATATTTTAATCAATATTTCATATAAAAACTTTCCGAAAAATTATACGGACTGCGCACGCAAGTCGAGAAGTGATAAATAGTGCTTTTCGAGGTCTTAGAACATAGAATTAATTATCAAATTTAAAGATGACCTTTTTGGTCATCACAGACATAGAATAAATAAAGATATGAAGGTAAATACCCCAAAATGCATGCTTTAACCCATGACATCGCATATACACTCGTCACTTCGCATATACGCCGTCCCCACACATAATTCACGTAACAAATAGACAAACAAGTCTTAATTCCCTCAAGTCAAAGTTAAATATGAAACTTACCTCTTTTCGCAATCAAATCAATAATCAGCCACGACTTTTCCTTTTGAACAAGCCTCCAAACCAACTGAATCTAACCAATTATCGTTCAAACATTTCAAAATAAGCTTTACAACTACCAACGAACGAAAAAAGGTTTAATCTTTAGCTAAATTGAAAGAGTTAACCTCGAGTCCACTTGCTCAAAATCTGAGATTCAGACCAAATCCCGATTACCCATTCACCCCCAAGCCTTGTTATGTGATTTATTTCGAAATCCGACCTCAATTTTACAAAATTCCTAAATTCTACCAAAAACCCCTAATATCTACATTGAAATTTATAGATTTGATGTTAAAAATTCATGAAAAGCAATGAAAATTGATTGAAAACTAGTTAAAGTTGCTTACCAATGATTTTGGGAAGAAAAACTCTCAAGATAATCGCCTCTATGGAGTCTAGGGTTGAAAAAGGGTATAAAATGAGTTATGTCCCGACTTTCCCATCTTTTACCCAACCGTAGACGTAGCATTTGCGAACACTTA